CTCCTCCTCCCATTGCCCCCCCATCTGTCAAAACTGACAGCTGGTAAAATAAGACAATTTTATTTTTAACCGTTGTGTGATAAATCATTTCTCCCGCTAATGCTTCATAAGTGAGGAGCAGGTTGTTGGAGAGTTAAGGTTTCCACACAAATTCTCACACCCACAGGGAAGGGCATTTTATTTGATCTAGACACAAAAAAGGAAAGGTAGCGGTAAAAGCTTGTGCAGGGTTTTTCCCCTGGAGATGAACTGAAAGCAAAATTTCACCCCCCACAGAGGGAGGATTCAGCTTGTCTGTGTTCACCACAGGAGTCATCGCTTGGATGATATGACTAGAATCTGGGTGGCTGTGCACCAATCCATTCCCAGCATGCCATTTTCCAAGCCTGCAGTTGGTGGTTAGAGCAGCCTCCCCCCAACCTGATGCCCTCCAAGTGTGCTGGGTGAAAACTTCCATCAGCCTCAGCCAGCCTGGCACCACTGAGTCCAAACTGGCTGTGAAGGCTGCAGTTGATGGGAATTGTAGCCCATACTGGCTCTGCTAGCTGCAGTCGGTAGGAGTTGGAGTTACAAATGGCCATGCTGGCTGGGGTTGATTGGGGTTGTAGTCCAAACTTGCTGTGCTGTATGGCGTAAGGTTCCCAGACGTCCCCGTTTCCCGGGGACAGTCCCCGGATTTACAAATCAGTCCCCATACAAAATCCATTGAAGTTGAAAAGTGTCCCTGGATTCATTGAAAAAAAATCTGGTAACCTTAGTATGGGGTGGTGGTGGTGGTCCAGATGGTCATTCAACATAGCTGGAGGGCAACAGGTTGGTAAAGACTGGGCTAGAGTGAGGGAGTCAAAGTGTTGTCCTGTTGACCAGACAAGGGCAAACAAGGCTAGGTTCCTACTGTAGTCCACCACCTGGCCTGGCCATTCCCCAGACTTTGTATTTTCAGCCAGTAACAGAGCCTGATGTAGAACAACCCTGTTCCCTTCCACAACTGGAGAAGATTTCAGGGTCTGAGCACAGTCAGAAGTGATACACTTATTTTAAGGAATTTACTCTTTATCACAGAACTTGAATATTTTGACACTAAGAATGAATAACTCAAGTGAACAAATGGAAAGGAGATGAATTTGATCTCTCTCCTTTCCCTGGAAATAAAATTATTTTTGATGGCCTTCAAGCATACTATCTTGCACTGGTATAATAATAATAATAATAATAATAATAATAATAATAATAATAATATATTTCTACCCTACCCAACTGTCTGGGTTTCCCCAGTCACTCTGGGTGGCTTTCAACAGAACTTTAAAAACAGAATAAAACTTCAAACATTAAAAACTTCCCTAAACAGGGCTGCCTTCAGATGTCTTCTAAAAGTCAGATAGTTGTTTATTTCCTTGACATCTGATGGGAGGGTGTTCCACAGGGTGGGTGCCAATACCGAGAAGGCCCTCTGCCTGGTTCCTTGTAACCTCACTTCTTGCAGTGAGGGAACCGCCAGAAGGCCCTTGGAGCAGGATCTCAGTGTCCGGGCTGAACGATGGGGGTGGAGACGCTCCTTCAGGTATACTGGACCGAGGCCATTTAGGGCTTTAAAGGTCAGCACCAACACTTTGAATTGTGCTTCGAAATGTAATGGGAGCTGACCTTTCCTTTTCTTATGCAGGCATACGTCTGCATGTCTGAAAGCCAGATTTCAATAAACCTTCAAAAGAAGGAACTTAGCCAGGAGAAGGCTGCATTGCAAAAACTTTACAGTGCAAGATTTGGCTGACAGTGGATACAAGTGGGAAAAAAAGATTTTAATAGGTTATGGCAATAAGACCTCTTTGGCTTCTAGTACCCTGGATGAGGTCTTGCTTCCGATTTAAGTTTTCCTTGGAATACTCTCCAAGTTATTAATCCTTCTGTGCTCTCTCTAAGCCAGGGGGAGCAGTTGTCAGCATGCTTTGGGGGCCATCTCTGAACATGCTGGCCTGCTGCTTGGTATAGTATTTCTCCAGGAAGATCCCTGGGTGGTCTTGTCTTGTGAAGGCAGAGAAGGAGAGATAACAGAATCCTTTCAAGCATGTTGTTGCTGGCCTCTGTCCTTGGGAGGGGCACAGATTCACCTTGAAGGATACAGATTGCCCCCCAAAACGCAAAACAAGACGTAGGAAGAGGTCGGGAAGAATTTTTTTTACCTTCTCCTATAACACTAGAAAGGGATGTGGGTGGTGCTGTGGGTTAAACCACAGAGCCTAGGACTTGCCGAGCAGAAGGTCGGCTGTTCGAATCCCCGCGACGGGGTGAGCTCCCGTTGCTCGGTCCCTGCTCCTGCCAACCTAGCAGTTCGAAAGCATGTCAAAGTGCAAGTAGATAAATAAGTACCGCTCCTGCGGGAAGGTAAATGGTGTTTCCGTGTGCTGCTCTGGTTCGCCAGAAGCGGCTTAGTCATGCTGGCCACATGACCCGGAAGCTGTACGCCGGCTCCCTTGGCCAATAAAGTGAGATGAGTGCCGCAACCCCAGAGTCGGTCACGACTGGACCTAATGGTCAGGGGTCCCTTTACCTTTATAACACTAGAACCTAGGGGCATCCAAGGAGGCTGAATTTGGGAAAATTCAGGACAGACAGAAGGAAGTCCTCCATACAGCACATAGTTAAAACCATGGCACTTGCTCGTACAGTATGTAGTTATGACCTCCAGCATGGATGGCCTTAAAAGAACATTAGAGAAATTCATGGATAAATCTGTCAGTGGCTACAAGAGACAATATCTATGTCTAGCCTTCACTGATGGAGGCAATCTTGTTCCTATATAACAGTTGTGGGAATTAACGAGTGGGAAGAATGCTACTGTGTTCATGTGTTTCCCACAGGCGCATCTGTTTGACCACTACGAGAATAGCATGCTGGAGTAGATGGCCCTTGGCCTGACCCAGCAGGCTCTTCTTATGTTCTTATACTGTAAGCAACAAAACAATCTAAACATGCTACCCCGGGTTTCTTTGGAAGGAGAGGTGGAATATAATATGAATAAAGAAATGTAATGAAAACATCCCAAAATACCACCAAAATCTAAAAGTATCAAGAACTTCTAAAAAGTCTAAAAACAATTCCAATACAGATGCATACTGGGAAAGAGCTCAACCTGAAAGACTCATCGGAAGAAGACCTTCAGTAGATGCTAAAATACAACAGAGATGGCAGCTGTTTAATATTGTTATGGGCCATCCCAATCTCAGAGTGGTGTGAGATTCCAGGGGTCCTGGCACTCAAGCAGGGCTTGTGTTTCATTTTGGAAATTAGGCACAGCGGAGACTGCAGTGTCTTTATGATATATGGTATATTTATACCTATTTATACATACCTGAGTCAACAGTGGAGGGATTTCCAGCGTTCAAATCACAGATGTGCAGCACTGGATTCAACAGCAGCCAGACAGCCATCTCTGTGTCTCTTTTTAACAGCTTGCACCAGTCAGTCCCCAGAACTTCTGCCCCTGCTCTTCTTCCCAGAACCCCGTGCCAAATGCAGCTTCCCCTTCTGCTGACATCATCATCCACTGTAACCCTGGCAACCTCCTCCAATGTGCCCAGCAGAGTCTTCTGCCTTGTTGATGGCTTCCATTGATGGGTTAAGGACTGGCTATTTCAACCTTTGTTTCTTAATTGATTATTCCCAGCACCCACAACTCTGGAATGAGAACACATAACAATATTTAACAAGAGGGAATTCCAAAGCAGGGGTGTCACCACACAAATGGCCAATTCCCTATATTCTGTGGAGGGAACCTCTGATAAGTTGGTATCTGCAGGAGGCTCTTACTTGCAGAGCAGAGTGATCGATTGGTTTTCTAAGGGGTCAGATGATCTTTTAGGCATCCCGGTCCCAAGCTGCATAAATCTTTGTACACCAGCACTTACCTTGAACCTATCCCAGTAGCTAATTGGCAGCCCACACAATTATTATACTACATCTCCCACCATCCCTGACCACTGACCATGCTGGGTGGGGCTGATGGGAGATAGAGTTCAACAACACGCAGAGGGCTGCCCCTTTTCTATAGTGACACTCATTACCTGCCCTTCCTCAGGTCACAAGTTCAAGATCAGCTGTGGGTATGAGATGCAGTGTGTGTGTGTGTGTGTGTGTGTGTGTGTGTGTGTAAGATCTCAGATCTTCACACCATTACCTCCACTACCAAACATCCCACACTGAGCAGTAATGTCTGAAGGGGGTCCTAAATGTGTTACTGAGTGTGCTTGATCTGAAATGCTTCATTATCAGGCTCCATGATCACAAGGAAGCTTCCAAGTCTGTCCATCTGTCTAATCCCACTTCATTGGGAGTGGCTTCTTGGATTGGGGCCACCCTGAAGCTGGTGTGCTATCGACTCCTGGCATTGGCTGGCAGGTGGTTGCTTCTCCTCTTGGCCACACTGGAGGCTGAGGGACCACACTCAAACTCGGGAGTGCACACCATAGCTGTTCCATCTGTAATCAAAGTTGTGGCCTAATTGGACTCCAACCCCTTTTTTCTGCCTTCTTTGCCATCCGTGCACCCACCACAACCTCTCTGTGCCTGAGTGTATAAGCATCTTCAGTGGAATGCATTCAGAATCCCCTTTGAGACGTTTAGGGTTGGAGTAGGCTTGTTTGCATCCCCTATACCCCCATTCATGTTGGCTTTCTTTGTTCAGACATGATGCCCAGGCAGGACTCTTATGAATGTGGCTTGCCAATACATTATGTTATATTGTTAGATTTCTAGAATTGATATGAGTTTTTCTCGGGGGGGGGTATGTTAACACATTTTCTATTGTTTTGCTATATTATGGAATTGTTGCAATGTCATTGTTCTGCTATGTTATTACGAAATTGTTTCCGTAGTGCTTATTTGAAATGCACTCCTCTTTCTCTGCTGTAAGCCACCTTGAACATGATTTTTGTTTGCGGAAAAGCAGCATACAAGTAAAATGAATGAATGAATTTAGCGTCCCAGGGCTAACAGTTTGTGGAAGGACTGTAACTCAGTGGCAGTGCATCTGCTTTGCATGCAGAAGGCCCCAGTTTCAATCTTTGGCAACTCCAGGTAGAGCAAGGAGAGACTACTGTCTGAAACCCTTGAGAGCTGCTGCCAGTCAGTGTGGACTGTACTGAACTAGATGGACCAATGGTCTGATTCAGTGGATGGCAGCTCCCTATGCTCATATTGCACACTGCAGAAATCTGACTGAAGCATTTGAATCTCAGAGGAGAATGTGAATAAAAACCCATTGGATATGATCATTGAAAGCCTATTCAATACCAGGCCTTGTTCTCTAAGGAGTTAATGGCAGGCAGGGGGTCTGAGAGGGGTTGAAGTCCAAAGCTGATGGAGTCAGGAACAGGGGGAGGGAGGGAAGGAAGCGGAAGAGTAGATGAGCTGACCACGACAGATCCCCAAAGTGCAACAGCTGTTCCTCGTCTTTGAGGAGCGAGGATCAAGACGAGAATATGAGATAGGCAAACGTTGGCTTAAACTTTCTTCTCCCTTTGATTGTCCTTGGACATCTGCCCCCATCTCCCATCAAGAATGCTTGCCAGCTGGTTGCTCAGAATAACAGCCCTGCTCACTCTCCGAGACCTCTAATACTTTAAGCCAACGAGTCGCCACTGTGTGCCTCCCGACTGAGGCGGAACTATGCTAATGCCTCCAGCTCATTTCGCCTTTCTACCCTCTCCAGCCAAACACCGTTGCTTGTTTGCGCGATTTATTTGGCTCACGTGCTAATTGGCTTTAATTTGTTGGCCAATTGGATTTTTTCACGTGCCCCCCCCCTCCCAAAAAGAAGAAGACAGTTGTGGACAAAAGAAGAAGCTTTGACTGAAGAGCGTGGGATCCAGGGGCTATTCAGCCTGGTTTCTCATGCCACTGGCTCTTTATGCAGATGTGTTAAATCTTTGGGCAAAGGGTGTCCTAGAAAGATTGCTCAAGCATGTCCTTTTCTTCTTCTTCTTCTTTCAAATAATATTCATTCATTCATTTTAAAAAGCACTTTATTGCCAATCAATCTGTATTGCTGTCAAAGACCAGACAACAGAAATAACATCAGCAACATATACTACATCAGCACCCAAGGGGCGGATGCGAAAGACAAAATTAAAAATTCCCCATATACTTATTTACATTAAAAACAACGCTCCTTCAGCTAAAATCCATTATCCAGAGTTTAAGATCAGTATTTATTCACCAACCATCGCTGTCACTGCAGGATCTTTATTGCCGTATAAAAGGCACCTGGTAAAAACATAACTTTTTCGTCCATGCTTTTGATGGGCTATGATGACGATGGATTTGGTTTTAGAATGGCTGTTATTTTGTATATTTTTAAAGAAGCCCGTGTGTTTCTGTATGATTGCATCTAGAGCATGGACACAATAATACAGAAACACATCATACAGAAATATAATGTATTTATTACCTTATATAGACATATATTGCAAGTCACTTGGAGACCTTGTGCTGAAATAGGTACTAAGTATAAGGCCCCCAGCTGCACTTTGCATTTAAAGCTGCATCGTGCCACTTTAGATAAGATGGCCCCTGCCTCCCTGCAGCTGTAGAGCAGCCGAGGGCGCATGCAGTCAGTATGGGTGCCGCTTGCGCAGTGTCCGTACAGGCAGCCACTCTCGCCCGCTGTCCATACAGGTGTCCATATGGCCTGTCTCTCACACTTCGACCGTTCGGGCTGCCACACGTGTGCTGTCTGTACAGACGTCATGGTGCAACACTGGGCGGTTTACCCCGCCCCTTGGCGTCCCGCCTTGGGTGCCGGAGAGGGTTCCTTCACCACTGCTATGAACAGTCTTAACATTGGGGTGAGTTGATAGTCCCCATGTACCAACAACTGCATCAATCATATGTGCACATTGCTGTCTGGTGCTCAACTCTGTATCCTAAACTTCATTAAAAACATGGCTCTTGATCTTGTGTGAGGCTGAAAAATTGAGACTATCATCTGATGAACTTTTGGCACAGGACTTTTGTGGGAGAGAAGGCTGGAGAACTCCTTGGCTGGCTGCTCGTACAACTAAAAACATATAAAGAGCCTTGCTGGATCAGGCCAAAGGTTCATCTAGCCCAGCATCCTGTTCTCACAGTGTCCGATTACATACCCTCCAACATGTTGAGTCCCAAACTGGGATGCACATCTTCCCGTATGTGTTCCTGCAGGAGTCACATGAACTGTGCGAGACCATGGAGCTCAAAATGTGCACTTTTGCTTTCAAAGTGCCCCAAAACACACGTTTTTGGGGTGCCATGTGAGATTGCGGTCCTGAAAAAAGCAAGGGAAAGATGTGAGCATGAAATCACATGAAATCACAGTGACCAAAATGGCTGCCATGCTCACATGGGATTTCCCAGTTTTTCTGGGACACTTGTGGGGTATGCAATTAGTTGCCTATGGGAAACCCGCAAGTAAGAACCCCAAGCACAAGAGAACTTTCCCTCTGCTGTTGTTTCCAGCAACTGGTATTCAGAAGCATTACTGCCTCCAACCCCAGAGGTAGAAAATAGCCGTCATGGCCAATAGCCATAGCATTCTACAAGAAGTAGAACAGCATTATGCAGATTAAGCGCATCTAGAATAGCATTATGCAGATTAAGCAGACCCGGTGCACCATCTGGCCCACTTTTTGGCCACATCAAAGAGGAACTCTCCATAAACGCCTGTTAACAATGTAATTAATTCAGACAAACAAACCATGATGCCTTTTTCAGAATGGAAACAACAACAAGGAACATTTCAGCAATGTAAAAAAGTATTCAGAGGACAGAACTTCCCAATGCAAAAATGTCACAGTAGAGCCCAGTTTGGCATCATGATGTGTCTTATTTAGCTTTTTTATCAACAATTTGATGATGATGATGACGACAATAATAATAATAATTCTCCTGTTGCAGAGTGGAGAGAAGGCACGGCAAGGCACGGCCATCCTTCAAAACCTGCGCTTCTCTGAATTTTTCAGAGCAGAACTTCAGCCAAGTAATGTGTAGAAAAATGCATATACTAAAGTATGCATAAAAATACATATATTTAGTGAAATTAACATGCAATAATGCATTATATTGGGGAAAATATAAATATTACAGAAGGTGTGCTTTGCACAAATGTGTGTGTTAGGAGAAATGCGTACCATAATGCTAGCAACTTTTCATGAGGCGTTAACAAAATATTTCCCTGGAAACTGTTTTGGAAATGTGAACTAAAGTTAAGATTGAAAAAAATGAGAGACTGATCTGGATTCCTATCTGCATGATTGTCTAGAACAGTGATTTTCAACCAGTGTGCTGTGGCACCCTGGGTGCCTTGAATGATGGTCAGCGGTGCTGCGGGCAACACTGTCCCCTGTCCCTCTTCTTTCCCTCCCTCCTCTGATGCCCTCTCGCATCTCTGCCTCCCAAAGGCTTCCACAGCTATTTGTTGCAGTAGTCCTGGCTACAAGCTCCACAGGTGAATGGTGCCTCTGGGGCTAGTCAAGGGGTGCTGGTAGCCAGGACCTGAAGCAGCCTTAGAGCAAGCAAACAAGCAAGCAAGCAAGCAAGCAAGCAAGCAAGCAAGCGTGTGAGGCAGCCCAGCCAGTCAGTTCACCACCCCTTGCTGTTGGGAATGGACAGACAAGTCCCAGGCCCCTGTGGGGCAGTGTGAAGAGGCACCTCTCTTTGGTGTGGGGTGGGAGTGCAGGCCAGAGACCAGGGACAGCAGCAGCACCTGCCCAGAGGACTCCCAAGGAGAGGAGAGAGGAGAGGAGGCTGAGGGAACACTCTACCAGGGAGGGTGTTCGAAAAAGGGTGAGAGGCTGCCAGCTCTGCAGGTGAGGGGTGACATAACTGGGTTCCTGAGCCCCCCGGGGTGCCACAGAAAGAATGTAGTTGATCAAGGGAACCATGGACTTAAAAAGGTTGAAAACCTCTGGTCTAAGAGGTATGGATCTTGGTCAGTTTGTACCAGAATTTGCCAGGACTGAATTTCTTAATTATCTCCACTTCACAGCTCAGGTTTCTTTACTGAGTCTGCTCCACCAGGTCTAAAGAGGAATGTAAAAGTTTGCTCCTTCTCATCTGTCCTAGCGAGGCTAAAGAAAAGGATTAGAGGCGACTGGGTGGTAGTTGTTTCAGAGAAGGCAGTGCAATACACTCCCCCGCACACATTTCTTTCCAATCTCTCTCTTTATCATGAAGCTAATGGTCTATTTCCAGCTCATCATGAGCTTTGCAGACAAATGGGGAGCACTGGGTTTGAAGAAGGTCTGCATTTGTTAGAATTTGCAGCTCAGTTGAGCACTTCAGTCTGCTAGCTGATGTTATGTAACACGGGTGACTGAGAGGGAACATCAGACCAACATCAGGGTGACCAGATGCAAACCTAGAGGGGAAATGCTGCAATCCACCCACCCACCACCACCCCTTCTCACCTGCCTTTCCTGGTATGAGGATCCCAGGGTGAAATAAAAAAGAGCATTTAGAAAGTTCATGAGTCATGCCACAGTAACATCGGGCATTTTGTTTCAGCAATCCGACTCTGGGAACTTCCTTGCAAAATTGCTTGGGGCTGACTCAGAAAAACTACATCCTCTGGCCTGATGCTTGGAAATTAGAAGATGGTTCTCTGAAGTTTAGTGCTATGTAGAAATCCATCCTCTGGTTTCTTGGGAGTTTTCTTCTTTTTCTGCAAATGAGGCTGCCATTTCTCTTTCCTTATTCTCTTGCACTTTGCATGGGCACAAGGTTTTGAGCTTACAGTGCCACTGTGAAGTGGTTGAAGGTGGTACCCTGCCCCCCCCAAAAAAACCCTATTTTCTTCAGTGCTCTGCAGCCTCACCAGCTGCCTGCACTTGCTGGCATGAACACCCCCTCCTTCATGTCCTTTGTGGTCTGACTGAAACACAGTCACCCAGGGAGGCTGCATAGTGCAGAACACCTATGAGACAATTTGTAGAATGAAAGGAAGAACACTCCCAAACCCTTCTCAGCCACCTCAGAAGTAAGCAAACCATGACAAAAACAAAACAAAACACCCTGCACCCCACCCCTGAGAATTTCACTG